GCTGTGAGCTTTTAAAAAAAGTGGAAGGCTTTTAGGTGCGCCTTTTAGTGCGGAAAATACGGTATATTAAAAAAAAAAAAGCTCAGTTTGAGATCTCACTCTGCCGTCGGCAGTTCAGTCAAACCCGCCTCTCGACCCAGCGTCAGCCGTGACAGGTTCGAGTTGGCCCTAGTAAGAACCAGTCTCCAGGAAATGGATGGATGAAATATGACTTTTGACTGGAGCGAGTGAGGGCGTTTTCTTCGATTGCGTGAAATTGCAGAGATCAGCGATGACTACGCTAGCAGTATTGTAATGTTCACAACAAATCTTGCAACGTACCGTATATAGACAGGATATTTATACAAAAGTCGGGAAGAACAATGGAAAATGTCGATAGCGCACTCGACTGAATGTAAAATCCTTCATGACCGTACAGCCCCCCGGTGTTCATTAAAATCTGCCGGGAGTTATTAAAATATCCCCAAAACAATGTTTTTAGTGAGGAAACGAACGTGCTCGGGTGAAGCGGCATCAAAAGTCCACGGCTGCACAATGAGCACAAAGGCACGTCGCTACATTGTCTTGCAAAGTCTTTCTCAACTGGCAGATCAATAGCCGGTGCCGGCTGCTGCACTCTCGTTCCTGCAGCACTCTCATTCCTGCAGTGTCTGATAACCCTCATCAAGTCTGCCGATTTCATAAGGCCAACACATGACACCCGCGCCACGGGCAGCTGCTGAAACACAATGCAACAGAACGGCGAGTGAGAGACGCCATTAATTCCGCACCCGCGGCCAATGGAAAGACTCTCCAAAGTGGCATCTTCTCCGCGGACATTCACTCAGAACAATGCTAAGATGTTTTTGGAAAAAAAAAGGGGCTTAGCTATAACGCATGGAAATGGTAACCAGAGTCCTGCCCGACTGCATTAGGCCGACGCATGACAGGAAGTGCTGGGAGCCTCTGCTGTAACATCACGCAACACACCGAGTGGGCGTCGTCAGCCACACTTGACAAGGATGTTTCTGGCGTTTGCTAATGCTAACAAGGCTCAGCGCTAACTCACTTCCATTTGCCCCCAAGTGGTAAGCAGCTGGAACAGCCAGGAGTTTTATTTATTTCTGTAGTTATTTATTTTCAATTGCTATTATTTTAGAAGATTCTTATTTTCCTTTGCCGCGTATTTATTTTGCGGTTGTGGTGTTGCTTTCGAGTGATATAAAGTTGAATTTTCAAGGATTCAAGGTATTTTTCTTGTCATACCGGCATGAATTTCCGCAAAATTGTTCCTCATGGTCGAAGTTTAGCCCAGTAAGTTTCAAGACTTGTGAAAATAAAAATACAATAAAATAAGATAAAATCAATTCAATCAAGAGGTAAGGGAGAAACGTATTCACAGTTTGAATGTGTGCAAAGATGTAACGCGGCAAAAGTGTGGATCCAGCAGAATAAAAATGCAAGAGGCATCGGTTGTATGCATGCGCTTCCGGTGACTTTTTTTTTTTTTTTTTTTTTTTAAGCCAAAATCATCATTTATGGCTTGAACTGTTAAAATAATGTTATATGCATGCGCGTCCAGTGATTTTTTTATTTTTACTTTTCCAAAATCATCATTTATGGCTTGAACTGTTAAAATAGACACCGAGAAACATTTTTGGTGGATGACAGTTACTTGTGGTTGTTCACCATTTAATTAGGGCCCAACAAGCGAACGCTGAGATTTTTTTAATTTAGATTCCAATTGTTTTTGCCGATTTTTTTTTTCTGAAATGAATTGCATTTTTCAGTCACTCAACATGAACAAACACTCACCAAATATTGCACACACATCGGGCCGGGTGGAAAAAAAAAAAAAAGAAAAAAATTAAAGTGCGTGATAATCGATGAATCTTTGCACTCATATCAGCCTCGGGCTAAATTTAATATTGTTGTGGGTTATTGGGCGTTATATATATATTAAAGTGCGTGATAATGGATGAATCTTTGCACACATATCAGCCTAGGGCTAAATTTAATATTGTTGTGGGTTATTGGGCTTTTTTTTTTTTTTTTTATCCTACCCTATTTTCACGACCATACGGCACATTGTCTTAAAAGGCGTAGTGTCAGTTACGGATGCTAATTCTGTATTTAACACATACACAAGACGGATTGTATTATTGGACGCAAGCATGGTGATACGTACGCTATCTTTCACGACCATACGGCACATTGTCTTAATAGGCGTAGTGTCAGTTATGGATGCTAATTCTGTATTTAACACATCCACAAGACGGATTGCATTATTGGACGCAAGCATGGTGATACGTACGCTATCTTAAAAAATACGGTAGCATGCATGCACGCGAGCGTATGTTTTGAAAAAGGCGGCGGGAGCAAAACTGAATTCGGATGTATTTTATTGAAGCATTTAAGAATGTACTGGCGTTATTTTTTTGATCTATGCTCATCGTCAAATCCATCAAAGTCCGAATATTCTGTATCCGAAATGAACAGCTGGGCAGGTTCACAGTCAAACACGCCAGATTCCTTCGCCTCATTGTCAGAATCAGTCTTGTTGCCGTTCGGCTCCTCAGAAACGATGCCGGCTTTTTTGCGAAAGCTCGAACAACATTGCAAGCAGACACGTTAGCCAAAGCTTCCACAATCCATTTACAAATTGTGGCGTAGCTCGCCCCCGCCGTTTCTTCTCGACAATGTGGCTCAACGAGATGTCGAAAGTGAGCGGCAACTCGTCCACGTTGGCGATGTGCTCGAGCTGGATGTGTTAGTCGGCAATCTTTTTGTTGTATTTCAAAATGCAAAGTATGCTTGTCCCTCATTACTTTCCGTAGCCCAAGCGGGTAGGTAGCAATGTGGAGATTGGTCAAGAGAATAGTCGGTAATGAAAGCCAAGTGAGGCCGGCAGAGCGGCAGAAGAAAGGATTCAAATCTCCAAGACAGCGTCTGTATTTAATGTAATGCAGAACATTACGGAGCGAAAGACGGCCAGCTTTTCCTTGTAATCCGCCGGATGTTGCTACGCCACGGTCGTCCTTGCCCGGATGGATAGATGGTGCCGTTTCATAAAACAAAAGCACCAAGCACCACGGATTAGTTGATCTTGAATTCTCTCGCGGCTGCTCGATTCCCATGGTCCTCCGCGTAACTGATTGTTTGCGGCGTCAACGGGGCTTCGTAAGCGTCTCTCTCCATCAGTGCCATTTTCGGGATGCTGTTTTGCACAATGCACATGCTAGATACACCTACGAGGGGCGTGCCTATAGCATCCTCTTTCACGCCCAGCCTTCCCACGTTAATTTCCGCACGCTGTCCTCAGTTACGTCCGCCTTTCCTCGATATTAGCAGTGTGTCGGCACAACATGAGTCAGTCAAGCGGACCCCTCATCGAAGCCACACGACAGCATGACAGCCCGCATTATTCGCCGCCCCGTCCATTTTGGTGGAAATGGAAGACTTTTAAATGCACCGTTTGGTCGTGAAAATACGGTCGGTTTTCAAAATTTGGTTGGTGAATGTAACAGGCAGCCCAAGACCGACAAAAAGTCTCGTAGAGCCTTATGGTAAACCTAACTGGAAGTCCACCATTTCAATTTGTTTTTCAAATTTTGCCACATTTTTGGCCTTTTACAGAGGTCATATTTTCACATGTACTTCATTTTCAAAGAATTCATGTGCCAGTACCTCAACGTGCCAAAGGTCCTTCATAGCTGCTCGCAGTTCAAGTTTTGTTTTGTAATCGGAGGGTTTTGACTCGTCAGCGAATCCAATATGTGAGACGAGGCTCGAACCCACACCTCACACCTGTGAGGCATACATGCTAAACGCTATTTCACCGTCACTAACATGAATGTCATGGAAAGTTCAACTCATTTGCAAGCTGTCAAAATCTGTGAAAACGTTTAAGCAAGTACGACGTTCCGTTCGTCTTTAAGTCTCGACCTTTGCCGATTGTTGACGTCCAATGTATGTTTTACAGCTAGCGGGCAAAAGAGGCATGTGTCACAGCATCGAGCCGTGCCAAGACCCTGTGACAACTTTCATTTTTCACCTTGCTGCGTAATTCTAGGCGACAACTGCAAGGCTTTGGGCCGCCATATAAACATGCCGTCCTTTAGAACAATGTTTTCTCCATCTGGCGCCGCTGTGTGTGTGTTCTCCCTTTTTTTTTTTTTCCTGAACCGCAGCACACCTGATGGTGCGAACGCAGCCAGCCGGTGCCTCGAGCCACATCCTCCTACTGGATGGTCTCATATACGGCTGAATCGCTGCCACACGAAAGCCGGCGAAAACGACACGGCGGCGACGCTCGCTCGCCTTTGAGCGTGAGCTTACTGACATCTAACCCCCGCCTGGCTCTTACAGATTTGCAACCACACCGCCGCTGCTTCCACCACGCAGGCGTCTGTTGATGCTGGGATGATGGAGAGATATTTACCCAGACCAGACACTGTCCCTAAGATGCCGAAATTGGACGGGATCAAACTTCTCAAAAGAAGAATTTCCATAACACAGTTTATAGATTTGTGATTATACCTACGGACAAACAATCTACCTATCTCGTATACAAAATAGCACAGCCCCCTGAGACTTATTGTGTGACTACACCATCAGCCGGTGCACCACCAGAGAGGATTTCTAAGACTCCGCTCATTTAAGGAACAGTCGGTTTGTGTGCGCGGTGCTGATTCAGACACGCCCGGGGAAAATCTTCATTCCTCGGGACACCATGTGCATTGCATGTGTTGTTTTAGTATATTCAACACCCGACTCGTGATGCAGACGGACCGGTCGGGGCCCAGCGGACCTTGGCTAACTGAGCGTAACCAACACCATCAATAGAAGCTTTGATGCCTTGTGATGGCTTCATAGCACAAGCCATCGAGCTGCATTGGGAAGTCGTCGAACACGCTCGCATGCATCACATCCTGAGAATTTCGCATGCACAATCTATGCGTCACATAACTGATGAGCTCCCTCCTCGATCCACACGCGCGTGTGTGTTTGCTCCCACTTACCAAAAGTGACACTAATGAAGAGTTGCACCTGATTCCCTCCCGGGCTGCCTCCACTTTTTTTGAAACGGGGGGGACGAATCGCGTCGGGTAAACGGGAGTTAATGTATTCCAAATTGACGCGTGGTTGTGGAGGGATGGAAGCTGATGAAAAGATCCCAAAAGACGTGTTGGAGAGTGTCACAGTTAAGTCTGTCCAAAAACGGGAGGGGGGGAAGCATTCAAATCCAACCTCTGGAGGATTAGCGACACGAAAAAAAGCTCCCCAGAGTCCTTTCGAGGAGCCTCAGCGTCCGAGGTGCATTCAAGGACCAATGCGCATCACGTTTGCTCCCCCACTCACGCTGTTTGCTTTCGCTGTCTCCCGATAAATCCCACGCGTTTAAAGAGTGTATTGAGAAAAAACCAAGAACAACAAGGGGGAAAAGAGGGATCCGGAAACGGTAACACAAAAATCAGCTTCGAAAAAAAAAACGCAAATGAGAAAACTGAAGCAGCAAGGGCGCAGTCAGTGTTCGAGTCTAACTTCTCCTTTGCGCAACCATGATGGAATCCCGCCCAAGGTTTTGGTGGCACAGTGTTTTTCTCTCTCTCACTCTCTCTCTCTCTCTCTCTCTCTCTTGATGTCACGCGTGGCCGCGCGCGCAGCTAGTTTTTGCACAAAAAACACCCAGCCAGTGTGCTCCGTGCACCGGGAGGATCAATAGGACGAAGTAGGAGGAGGAGGAGAAAACGGAAGAAGATCTCGGGGTAGTACGCGGCTTCCTAGGCGAATCTTTCCGCGCGCACTAAAATACGCTTTGTGTGTTCACCTGCGACAACGAGGAGCTGCTGTCACGCCATCATGTCTGGGGGGAGAAGAAGAAGAAGAGGAGGAGGAGGAGGGAGATGAAGAGGCAGAGTGTGGGAAGAAAGTCACTGGTGGACGGTAGTTGGTGTCTTGAAGCACACTGCAGCAGTTAAAACATTGCCATTTGGGACTGCATTCAAAATAATGGTTAGAGTGGAAGATCTCCATAGATTAAACAGTAATAATGCCTCAAAGTCCAACGGTTACCATCATCAAGACTTTATCAACAGTATGGCGCGTCCATTTTGAAAAATACGGGCATTTTAACAACTGTGATTACTCACAAAACGAACGCCTACCCAAATTCAGTCTTACGTTTGGAGTTCATCGTCACGTTGTGTTGCTTCTGATTACCGCCCACAACACTGGTTCTCAAACTTTTTATACCGAGTACCACCGTAATGAATCAAGGACAGTCACATAGTAGGCCCAAGTGTTCATTCAAAACAAGGCAATTGTATTTGCTGTAATAAGTTTTAAAAAACTTGATTAAAGCATTGCAAATAATTTTTTTAAATATGTACCTAAATAATATAAAAAAGGTCTTTTGAATTTCATAAAAATGGATTGTACTTAAATTACATACAACGAAATGTTCCAAAAATGCACTGTGCAGAAAGTTGTTTTTAAAAAACAGTACAGTAGCCTACTGGATTTTAAAAAGGGAAGCCAAGTCAAAAGTTTTCGTTAAAATGTATTCTATGTGGCCCAACAAGTCTAAACATTGCATTGTGATTAATACATTTGTGGAATTTAATTTAAGCAGCAAAATCGACCTGTTTTTATCCATCTCAGTGGGCGGCCATTTTGCCACTTGCTGGTAGCAGAAAAGAACATCAGAGTGCCTCATGGCTCAGGTAACCAACCTCACCGCTCACCTCGTATTCTGGGTTTGGTCATGTCACTTTCGCAAGACGACCTCTGACGTACCGTGATGTCATTTTCAGTCGACGGAACATAGCAGAATGGCTGCCTCCTCAGATGCATAAAAACAGGGGGAATTTTGCTCCTTAATTCATATTCCACAAACACAGTATTAACCAGAAAAATGCGTTCAGACCATTGGGGGCTCATAGAGCATTGTAAAAAATAATTCCGCTTTAAAAAGGTTTATACAGGCACCACACATAGCTACAAGCGTCATTCTCCTGTTTGATTTGTCACATTATTTGTATTTAATTGTTTTCAGTTAAAAAGAAAAAGTCTCATTCGTAAGCAACTTGAGAAAAATAAAATGTAACCAAGCAAATGCTCTCAACTTGAAACACTTGTAATTTGAGACATTTGTAAGTGGAGCCACTGTAGCTTGTCTGAGGTGAAGGGAGGGGGCGGAGTTGTTCCTGATGCCTACTGGGATGTGCAATGTTGAGCTAAAAGGCCCGACCAGGGGCTTGAGAGGAAGTGAGGGAGGGGGATCAAGAGGATTGTTGCTTGTAATGGCTCCCCATGTTATTGCATCGAAAAAGAGGCTGGCCACCCACATCTTTTTCACGCATCGCCTCGTGCGTCACTTCGCTTTGGGGCCAAGCGCTCATACTCCTCTTGGCCCTGATCAATGGAAACACGATATTCAGTGTGCCGAATAAAAGACATGAATGCCCACCCACTGGAAGGGGAGAAAAGGAAAAATAACAACAACCAAACAAGCGTGCATAATCTTCTCTCAGATTTGGAAAAAAAAAAAAGACACACACACACACACACACACACACACACACACACACACGAAATAAATAAATGACAGATGCTCTGTATCCATGCTGCTGTTCAAATGAGGGAAATGACACGTTTAAAAGAAAAGAAAAAAAAAAACTTCCATAAAATGACTTGCGGACTTGCAAGTGACCGATTGCATGATTTTCAGCCGACTGGTATTGGCGGGAAAAAACAGATCAGATTTTTACATTTTCTTCATTTCTTAAATCAGGAATTACATTTTAGTTGTTGACTGAATTGGAACCACTGCTGGTTTACAGCCATATACAAAGGTATCGTCTCAGGGTACTTTTATTCAAATAAAATACGATCGTTGCGATTATTTGGATTTAGTCTTCCTTTTCCTCTTCATTGCATTGCAGAGGCAATACATCAAAACTCGGGTTTCAGCAAAATAAAAGTGACTTGCACTCGGACGTAAAAAAAAAAAAAATGTGATTGAGACATCCATGCTTCACTCTACGGAAATACTCCCTGAAAGTTACATAAATCCTCAAAGTTTGAAAATACTGTCAAAATGTTACCCAGCTGCTCTTCAAATCTTTAAAATATTCGTCAACACTTACCAAAATACTCTTAAATCTACTGGCATACTTCCGAGTTTGTCGATTTAATCCCGCGATTTCTTTGCGTAGCGCCCTTTGAAAATCACGATCAGATATATGTCAAGTGTGAACATGAACACATGCAGTTCCCGCTTAATTATGGCGAGTCTGCTCCGTGACAAATTAATTGGTGAGAAAAGGATGGCTACGCAGGTGCGACTGCAATGAAATTACGATGCACAACAGGTCCCAAATGTAAACCTCCAATAAAACGGAAACGCCGGCAAATAAAAGCGCGTGAAATGACGGCGTCAGCGCTCGTTACGGCTCCGCAGGCGCGCTTTACATGCTTAAAACGGGACAAAGTGTAGACGCAGTAAACTTTTTATAGGAATGTCTTTTTTTTTTTTCTTTTTCCTTCAAGCCTTGTTTGTATTCGCAGTACATTCCATGCCGACTGCTATCTTGCCCTCGGTGCGCCGTGGCAACTGTCAGTGTTATCTGATGTGCAAGTCTGCGTGCGGCCCCTTGTAATTAAAGGGCGATCCTTAATGGGCCAAGCACCTCCTGGGTATTTATGCTCGGACGTTCACATCCGATTTTCGGGTGGGGGGGGGGGGTGTGCTAAACACAGATGCTGCTCACCTCATTCCATTCTGAATGTCAATGTTTCTCATCAGACAACACGTCATCCCCACTCTCAATTGTACTTTATTGTTGTTGTTGTTGTTGTTACACGACTCCAACGTCCACTCATTGTACAACTGTGACTTCCTGCTGCCGTCACACCCCTGAGAGATTCTCAAAGTGGTGCGCAAGAATCACAAAATTAAACACGCAAATGTTACAGTAACTTGCTTCCCCAGTACCGTGCATTTCTTAGGTACAGTACAGTTGTATTTAAGTGAGTGTACAAAAAGTGATACACGCACACAGTTGACACCAAAGGCGGGGAGGGGGAAGGGGGGGTGAAAAGAGGAAAACTCTTCTTGAGCAAAAAGCCCTTTTTCTTCCGCCACAATTAATCTTTTAGAAATGTCTGTTTTGGTTTTAAAATTTCAAATATGAACCACAATCCAATATTAGAATGGAGCTTGTGGCTATCCATACAGACTTTTTAAACTTAAAAATACAGTTCATATTCCTACTCATAGAATTCTGCCCCCACGCCCCTTTTTTTTTTTTGTTCTGCATAGGGTTTATTTTTTGTGGAGCCAGCACCATTTTTTCCTGGAAAATATATTAACTGTCTATCAGGCTTGTTTTTTTTTTTTTTTGGGGGGGGGGGTTCAAATATAAATACAAAATGTTTCATGAATTTCAACAGACGTCAATTATATGCTTTCCGTGGGCCAGCCCATACCACTGTAAATGGTTTAAGTACAGTTCAGTTGTATTTAACTGTTAAGAACTGTTTGCTTTAAACAAGCATTTCTGTACAATTTTTATGTCAAACATTATAAATGAGTGAATTTATGTTTTTTTTTCCTCTTGTAATGAAGTGAAGTTGTTCAACCTGTGCTAATTTTACAAAAGCTTACAATATTAGAAAACATACGTTATAGGAATACATTTTTCATTTTTGATGAACAGTTGGGCCTACATTAAAAACAAAAAAACAAAAAAACAACTGCTAGAGCCACAAGCTGTATGAAATGTTGACCTTTACCGTTACATTTCAAAACTAAAAAAGCTTTCCCGTTTAATCCTCCACAGCTTTTCAAAACAAATATCCCATGTGACAGGTTGTCAAGCAATGAGCAGGGTGAGCGATGATGAGGAGACCAGACTTGCAAGGGAGACTCATGACCGGAGATGAGTCACGGATCTTCAAGACCAAGCGCCAGATCCTCCAGTGGAAGAGTCCGACGTCATCAAGAACGAAGAAAGCAAGCTAGTCGAAGTGCAACGGCAAAGCCAAGTTCTTCCATGCGAGTGGCATCAACCAAAACATCGACAAAGGAATCCTCCAGCGTTTGTTTTTGCGTGTTATCGCGTGAGAAAAGGCGAAAGCTTCAGTCGGAGAACTTGTGGCTGCTTCAATTCATTCCCTAAAATCGAGGCATCCCCATCACGAATGCCTTGCCCTTGATAACCTGTGCTATGATACTGCAGGCGTGATGGCTACGGCACATCGCACATGCGCAGCAGACGTGACGTGGAAAGCTAAAACGCAAACAAAGCCGTTTGTGGATACTTTAGTATCATTGTTATTTTTTGGTGAGAACATTTTAGAGGGGGAAAAAAATTGCAAAAAAAAATTATTCAATGCAAACAAATGGACTGCCGCCTAATGAATAAATGCCTTTCTCCAGTAGACCGGGCACCCTCGTCAAAAAAAAAACGCCTTCCCATGTTTACAGCTTGTGTTAATGTGCTTTGTAGCAGTTGTGTAGCCCATATGAAAATCGAGGCCTCCTCTCTGATAAATGCATTTCCTCAAATAGACGCCTGGCACTCTGTTGTTATATACACAAAATTCTGGAATA